AGAGAGAGAGAAGGGAGAGCGGTAATATACAGCACGAAATTATTTAGCCGCCGCTGAAAGGAAAAAATCCCTAATGTAAAATAAGAGGAATTCACGGACTGACATAAATTAAACAGCGGGCCGGAATTGGTCCGCGAAACACCGGACGAGAAACACTCTGTAAAGTGTGCCGTCAGGAGAAGTAATGACATGGACAATGGCTGAAATTAGCTTGTCGCATACGCTAATGGCAAAGCACAGAACAGTGAGGTAATTCATTAATGGGCCAGAAAATACTGGGCAAGAAGTAAACGTACATGAAATAGTAAGACAGCGGAATTAGCAGCAACATAGATCTGATATAGCTGATTGGCTGATAAACTGTCTAATCAACAAACGTACTGACTGGCAAACGGACTAATACCCCCAGTAACACAATCTAGAGGTTCATCTTCACTGATAGACCACTGGGTACGACCCTGAACCACCTGCATCCAGGCCTCATTCTCATGACACAGGACTGCGTGTAGATTCTGAAGGGTTCTCACGATGATATGTAACAATCAGAACTGAAGGGTTTTTCGACTGTCAATCGTCCGGTATCCTAAAAACTAGAGAACACAAAGTTTTTCGGAAACTGGATCTGTTTCCAACCGTAGGTGATGGGGGCGGGGGGACACTTACTTTGTTGAGTTCCTTAGAAAGAGCTAACCTCAATTACTGCCAGTGATTGGGGTTAGCTCTTTCTCGGGGAACCCAGAGAGTATGTCTTTCCCTTCATATGAGGACGAAAACTATCTACAAAATGAACACGTCTGAAGCCAGAAGACATAAACATAGCAACATTTACTGGAGTCACTGAAGTTAGCTTCTCTAAGGGACCCAACAGAGTGTCTCCCCATTCACATGAAGATGGAAACAGATTCAGCTTCCGAAATGGTATGTTCTCTAGTTTCTAGAATACCTGATGATGGACAAAGTCCAAAAGTCAGTAATTCTGACAGGACTGCTTAAACGGAATAATCTGAATACTATATTTTCATATATTTGTCTATTGTCCGGGTGCAGTTTGTCAGAAGGTTTCCCATGATATTTGTGCAGCATTTCTTGTTTTATTCATTCTAACTGAATATTTCGTAACCTTCCTGCTCTGACTACTCCACGAACACCAGCAGGGGAATAACCTGAAAGTAAATAGATGTAGAATTATCTAAGACCTGTAGATTTCACGACAGGCAAAGTTGACAACATTTCTTCGGGCTATCACTTGTGTCAGATGCACAAATCTTGCCAACTTTGACACCAGACGCTGATGATGGGGACAGAGAGAGCTTCTGAAATATCGCTAATTTAAAAAAAAAAATCGCTCGTTTTGTAGCCCGATTCATATCCTCGAGTCTAATTAATTACGAGTACATCGGATTAGTTTCCTTACTCACAGGCATTCAGCAAGAAGTGCGCAGACTCCAGTCATGTTACTGGACTAGCAATGATGAAAAGGTGAATGTCCGCTATGGTTCACTGCTTCCTTCCGCTTTGAACTGCCGTCTGAAAGACACGAAAGAAATGTTCGATGAAATGTGAATTTAAGATGCCCTCAAGGCATAGTCGCCTGGATGAAAACGAAATGTTNATATATATATATTAACTCCTCTGACTGTATGAACTACATTATAGTAACCATACTAACTGAACTAGCCATTTATAAGATACGTCTGAAACCACTTTAAACATAAACTAGAAGGCATAAACACAGCACCATTAATAGCGTGGCGTGCCGCCTATACGCCAGAATATCTGAGCGGGAGTCCATTACTAGACAACGGCTTGTTAAAAACTTGTGGCCGAGATTACAAGCTGCAATAGACAATTTCTGAGCAACACTCGGTAAACACTGCCGGAACAGAACAGAGACGTCCATTGCCAGGCAACGGTTCAATAAGCGTTGTTCCCGCAACAACAAATACGCTAGAGATAAAATCAACGTCTTCACTAAAGATGGAAACACGTTCCAGCGGCAATGAATAGACCAGCTACAGATACACTAGCTAATACGAGAAACGAAATCCTTCAAGAACGTGTCTTCCAGTCAGTCCGACTGTATAAGATAAGAGACCAGAGGAGACCAGGGCGGAGGTCAGACCAGAGGAAAAGTGAGAACAGGTAAGAGCAGAAGAAACCAACTTAGCTAAGAACCAGAAGACTAAACAGTAGTCAGGTCACATCATCTGGAAGACGCTATTTCAGTGATTCTAACTGTAACTGTAAACGATTTATCCAATAAACAGCTTCGTCTAATCCGGAATCCATTAATTTCTTATCGTGTCACCTACGAGGCGTGACAATACTTAATTGGCACATGCCATTCTAAATTGTGATTGGTGTCCTCGCGAGAGGCGTTAGACCGAATATGGGAAGAGCACTCGTATTCTCGATTTCGCCCACCATAATTTACATTTAGTAAATGAAAAGAGTATATAAATATAAAGAAATCTCAGAGTCGGTATATTCTCAACCTACTTATTTATTCATTCAGCCAGCCAGTCGTTCATTTACCCAATCATTCCCTTAGTTACTGCTCATGTACTGCAAGCAGAACAGTTTGTCAATATTGCTTTCAATAAAATTAGAGGAGACTGTTATTTATAATATATGAACATCTCCGAGATTGGCATTAAAATTCTTTGCTGGTTTATGTCCGCAGGCCGTGGTTTAAGCGTACATATGCCACATGGTAGACAGACTCTAGGATACATAAAGATAATCACTCACACTCATTGAGCTGAGCCCTTCTTGAGAAGCTGCCAATTGTGCAGCTACTCAAGAACTTTCAAGCATTTTATGGAACCCTGAAGGTTCATTACCGCGTTCACAAGAGCCCTCCACAGGTCCCTATCCTGAGTCAGATCAATCCAGTCCATACCATCCCATTCTATCTCGCTAAGATCCATTTTAATATTGTCCATTTACCTACGCCTTGATCTTCCCAGTCGTGTCTTTCCTTCTGCCTTTCCAACCAATATCCTATATGCATTCCTCTCTTCCTCATTTGTGCTACATTCCCTGGCGACCTCATCCTCCTTGTCCAGATTGGGGGTTGGGCGTGGGACTTACTACTCACCGTAAAAATAATCTTGTTACGAAAATGTTCAAAAAGCCTCGGAATATAATATGTTTAGAAATAGGAGTAAAACAGAAGTTACTATCTTAATGCGTCGTGTAAGAAGGAAACAAGGAAGTGCTAGCTACCATTGCAGTTTACAAAATGAATTCTGAAGGGTCGGGTGTGTGGGGAACGACAAAATGGCGTAGCTGCTAATAGACACACTCTGTATTCAGTTGTCATTTAGTCCACTGCGCAATTACTGCTTACAGCAAGCTCACTCTGTAAATGTCAATCAGAATAAAATTTCCGCAAGAGCGAAATCACTTCCGCTCCAGTGATAATGTATAAACTATAGTTCTCAAATTATAAAATGGAAAACTTACTGCAACGCAAACCGCTTTCTGCTGGCAGAAACAATTCGATAACCGCTGTCCTAATATTTGCAACCAATACTGTGCGCGTGACAGGTAATGTGCACACGTGCTCTACAGTGTGTACACATGACCACGATCTGTACATAGTGGCACACAACACGCAGGCGCATGCCGGATTGAATCTGAAATTTCCAGCGTTTCTCCTTAGACGCAGATAATCTGTCTGAGAAAAACTGTAGAAGCACAATCGAAAATTTTCAAAGATGATACCGACTGTCCGCACATAGGGGAGGTCTCTGAATAGGGGGTGGATGGGTTGGGGGATGGGTGAGAATTTGGGTAGTATAGTACAGTAAACACTATATATATATATATATATTACAGAACAACTGTAAAGATAAAGCTATCCCTGTAACAGGCCGTGAAAGGCCCATAGGGTTGTGAGACGTCGAGGCTCCCACGTTTTCCAGACCGTCGGCTCACAGATGGCGGTAAGGTTGTCAGCCTTACACGCCGGCCGCCTTTAACCCCCTGAAAGATTCCTGGTACTAATTTTTGTTAGAGGCTGAGTCGACACCAGGGTCATAGTGCGGTTGGAAGGATCAGGTCGCCTGAAATAGTCCAGCTCATCGGGACTCGAACCAGCGATCTTCCGGCTTGAAGAATAGTGCCTCAACCAACTACGCTACCGCGTGCCCCAAGTAACAAATGTATTACACCAATATGATGCTCTCAGGAATATTTGACATGATTAGTAGATGCAGTATGTAAACTCGGTTAAGTGTTCATAATTAAATAAAAGCATATATGGACATGCATATACATGTATGTACTACATACTAGTTTTAAAAGGAGTGCCATGTAAAGGATGTTACAGTTTTGACTTCTGACTATTTACGTCTATGTTCTCAGCGCTATCCTGCGCCTAGTTAAAAATAGTATCAAGTCATTAAGTGACAAATCGATTGTAGGGGAGGGGTTGTGACAGATATAGTATGTAGAGTGCATTATTTTTCACGGCACTGGTGAGCCCACAGGCCCGTCAACGGGTATTCTCGTTGTGAGATGATCTTCTTCGAGGGAGTTTTGTGAAGACCAAGCATGGTCACTGGTCGCTGATAGGGGTGTTCTCTGAATATGAAGTTGTCTTAAAATGCAATCCATGCCACACAGATATGGCCATTTAAGTGTTGGTTTTTGAATATGGGTGGTCTTTTAGAGAAGTTCCACTGTGGATCAGAGATTACTGGACTACAATTAAAATTATTACACGTAAACCTTCTTCTCCCGGTCACGGTAGCCCAGCGGTCTAAGGCATGTACTGTCTTCGCTCGCTCGGAAGTCGGGATCGTGGGTTCGAATCTGTTTCCTGTGAGGTACGAACTGAATTCTTATATATTATTCTTATACACTGCCAGTCACGGTAGCCGAGCGGTCTAAGGCATTCACTGTCTTCGCTCGCTCGGAAGCCGGGATCGAGAGTTCGGATCTGTTTCCTGTGAGGTACGAACTGAATTCTTATATATTATTCTTATACACTGCCGGTCACGGTAGCCGAGCGGTCTAAGGCATGTACTGTCTTCGCTCGCTTGGATGCCGGGAAGGCATGGATGTTTGTGTTCGTTTTTCTGTTTGTCTACAGGTAGAGGCCTTGGGACGAGCTGATCACCCGCCCAAGGAGTCCTACCATATGTGTAAGATCTAGAAAAACCGAAGTGAAAGGAGAAGTTCATGGAGATAGGCCTAGGACCATTGGGGCTGTAGTGCCAAGAAAAAAAAAAACCTTCTTCTGCCGGTCACGGTAGCCAAGAGTCAAGGCATGCACTGCCTTCGCTCGCTCGGAGGTTCGATTCCCATTCAGGGCATGGACGTTTAGTGTTTGTGTGCTTGTGCGTGCGCGCGCGCAGGAAGAGGCCTTGCGACGAGCTGATCACCCGCCCAAGGAGTCCTACCGAATTTCTAAGATCTAGAAAACCGAAGTGAATCGGTGAGTTTCATTTAGGTAGACCAAGGCCCAAATTGGTGCTGTAGCGCCAAAGGAGAAAAAGTCTTCCTCAAGAGACTTCTCCAATGTCTCATTTGAAGGCCGAGATGTGCAGCTCGAATTGCCGTGTTTTTTAACAGTCTAATATACTGTGCAGCACACAGCAGACGAGCTAGAAATCTAGACTTCGACCGGCAAATGTTTTCGCACCATCTAGTAGACAACAGCGATGTGAAATATTTTGCACTATTCCTATTAGCTTTTGTCGCTACAACAACAATCCAACCTGGAAAATTTCCAATCAAAAGTCGAGAGAAAATATCTGAAAGGTAAGAGACATTTCATACTTGTTTCCTCAGAAATTCTTGACCTATCACCTCATGTTAAAATCCTTTCACTAATTCAGTATTAAAGAAACTCTGCAGTTAGTTAAAGTCGTTGAACAGACGTACAAATTATCTAGGGAGATACAGTAACAAAGAATCACGCAACACATTCCGTGTTCATTGCATCTGATAAGTAGTTAGGCGAAACACGGCTGAACGGTACTGGTTTGTAGTTTCCGGATTTACTGTATTTGCACAACTTCATAAAGGAACGCATAACCGGTAGAGCGTGTCTTGCCGTCAGTTCGTCTACATATTTCATCTGTGAAACTATTCTAACATATTCTGAGAAAACTCATCATTGAGACACTTAAAAGTGAAATGTAAGTTACTGACAAAAAGTATTTCAATCAATATAGCTTATACATGCCTAATGCCTACTTTACTTTACTTTACATTTTTTTTTCCTTGGCACTACAGCCCGTGGGCCTAGGCCTACCTCCATGAAACTCTCCGTTTCACTTCCGTTTTTCTAGATCTTACACATTCGGTAGGACTCCTTGGGAGGGTGATCAGCTCGTCGCAAGGCCTCTATCTGTATACAAACACAGAAAAACGCACACACACAAACTAAACATCCATGCCCTGAGTGGGATTCGAATCCACGATCCCAGTTTCCAAGCGAGCGGAGACAGTACATGCCTTAGACCGCTCGGCTACCGTGACCGGCAACTTAGACATTAGTTTATCATATTTTC